GAGGCTTTCAAGGAGAGACTGGGCTGCCCCCTGTCAGAAACGGTGTAGGGCAAGGGTGTCAAACTCAAGGCCAGGGGCCGGATCTAGGCCCCCGTCAATGCTTAGATCCGGCCCGCAGGGCCTCCGCCGGCCAAAACGCAGCTCGTGAGGGCCACATGTGCCACCCCCCAAGCTGTTTTTTCACGGGCAGAGCCCTCAAGCTGCCCCAGGCACCCCCCCCACCCCACCCGACACAAGCGATGTCACGCTGGCCACACCCACTCTGGCCACGTGACCTCCTCAAACCCTCCCCCGCCCTCGAAGTCAAAACACAACCCTGATGGGGCTCTCAAAGAAATCGAGTTTGACACCCCCCCCTGGTGTAGGGTGGGTGGGGGTGGGGTGGGGGGTGGACTAGAAGACCTCCCGGGTCCTTTCCAACTCTTGTCATTCTGCTTTCTACAAAAGTTCAGAAGAGAAGGGGGGGGGGCACATGAGGGCAGTCTTCCAATATAACCGCTCGCCACCAGAAGTTTGTGGGAGCCTCATTCCTGGAGGTTTTTCAGAAGAAATTGGACAGCCCTTTGTCTGAAGTGGTATAGGGCTTCCTGTCTAAGCAGGTGGGGTTGGACTAGAAGGCCTCTAAGGTCCTTTCCAGCCCAATTATTCTGCTTTTTATTTTATTTTTTTAATAATTTCACCCTGTGTCCACCGGAGCCCCTGAAGGCGGGACGAGAAGCGACGGATGGAAACTAATCAAGGAGAGAAGCAACCAGGAACGAAGGAGGAATTAACTGACAGGGAGGACCATTTAATCAGTGGAACTCCTTGCCACCAGAATTCGTGGGTGCTCCATCGCTGGAGTTTTTTTTTTTTTTTTTAAAGAAGAACCTGGGCAGTCACTTCCCTGAAGTGGTCAAGGGCTTCCAGCTTGAGCCAGGAGCCGGACTAGAACAGGGGTCACCAACCTTTGGGACCTCAGGGACCACCAAACTCATAATTTTAAACCCCGCGGACCACTAATATGGATTTTGATCGACGGTGGCTTGCTGACGTCGGTGGGAAAGTCGGTCCCATATTCCAGAACTGCAGGAGTCACAGGACTGGCCCCTTTGGTCATCCCGGAGCAGCTGCTCCTCCACCCGGGTGCACCGGCCTGCCACGGACTGGAGGAGCCGCTCCAGGATGGCCAGTCCTGGGACTCCTGCAGCTCTGGAATAGGGGACCGACTTTCCCACCAATGTCAAGCAAGCCACCCCACGGCGGATTTCCCTCCCCCGCCATTGGTCTCATCTTCTTCCAGTTCCAGCTCGCGTGGCTCTACTCAAGGTTTGCGCTCGGCCGAAGGGTGGGGGCCAGCGGGTGGGTGGGCCATGTGGGCGGCACAGCCTTGTGTTCCTGCACAGCCTGGATTAATTGCTTTGGAGGGGAGGACATTTCTCTGCGGATCATCAAAATTTTCTCACGGACCACCACTGGTTCCCAGCCCACCGGTTGGTGACCACTGGACTAGAAGAGGGGTCACCAACCTTTGGGACCTCGGGGACCCCCAAACTCATAATTTTAAATCCCGCGGACCAGAGACCCTGGGAAAATCCCCCACCCCGTTTTCCTACCGATCGATCGTTCTTTATTTGGGATCGCAGGATACTGTCTCCAGCTCCGTTCTCAGGGGGAGAGAGACAGAGAGAGACAGAGAAAGAGACTTTTGGCTTCGTGCAAGGAAAGCAGCAGAAGCCGCAAAAGTCTTTCTTTCTCGCCCCCAAACTGCACCAGAAATGAGTCTTTGCCGGTGCAGCCTGTTGGAGCAGGAGGCCTTGCAGGGTCCCAAAGACTCATTTCTGGTGGAGTTTGGGGGAGAGAAAGAAAGACTTTTGCTGCTTTCCTTGCGTGCAGCCAAAAGCAGAAGAAGAAAGAAGCAGCCCGGTGGCCTGGCCAGGCAAGTGGGGAGAGTGGGGCAAGTTTCCCCCCTCCGCCCTTTCCCCCCTCCCCTCCCTACCTCGTGTTGTTCACAATGCAAGCGACGCAAGCCTTGCGGGCCATGTGGACTGTGCAACCCTGCGTTCCCACGCAGCCTGGATTAATTGCTTTTGGGGGGGGGGGACATTTCTCTGCGGACCACCAAAATTTTCTCGCAGACCACCAGTGGTCCCCGGCCCACCGGTTGGCGACCACTGGACTAGAAGACCTCCAAGGTCCCCCTCCACCTCCATTCTGATTTGGGAATGCCGAGCCATACCTGCAGGGAAGTCAACATGCAGCTGGAGACGAGGATCACCAGCCAAAAGTCTGGCTGGAAGAAGTGGGCAATCTTGTAGGCCATGAAGCCGGGAACCACCAGGAGAAAAAGGCACAGGGTCACCCCACGGAAGTGCTTCCAGAAATTCCTGCAAGAAAGGGGGGGGGGGGAGAAAGGGGGGGGGATGGTTTGGATTGGCCAATGCAGGAGGAGCCCCCCCAACCCAGGCTCGCTTGTGAACCCTACACCCCATCTCTCAGGGCCAGAAGGGTTAAGATGGCGTCCAGGGAGGTAGTCCTCGGCTTCTGACCACCACCGACGTTTCCGTTGCTTCGAGTGAGACAGTTGCCGAGTGAGTGTTGCCCCATCTTACGACCTCGCTTGCCACCGTTGTCAGGCGAATCCCCATAGTTCGGAAGCTAGGAACGCGGTCGTTAAGCAAATCTGACTTCCCCGCCTTGACTTCACTAGTCAGGAGGTCACAAAAGTGGATCATGCCCCCACCCCCGGATGCTGCGATGGTTGTAAATGTGAGTCAGTTGCTAAACTACCTGAATTTTGATCCTGAGGCTACAACGGTAGTTAAGTGTGAAAAACGGTTGTTAAGTCCCCTTTCTCAGGGCCGTTGTAACTTTGGTCACTAAACATGTGATACCTGTACAATTAGCACAGCCCCCCCCC